ATTTCGAGTGAAGTCAACGTTACTTAAATGTTGTGCGATGTACTAATAGTTTGACTATGCCGACAAAAGGAGAGTTTTATAATTAGCTATTATGTTTTAAGGAATATTTAGATAAAATCAACACACAACAAGGGCTATAAAGAGCCCGACTTGCGATATCGGACTGAATTACTTTTGACTTTTTTCGAGCTGTCAAAAGAAAAAAATTCGGTTCAAACCCTGCCGACACGAATATGAAGGATTCCATTAGTTCATGGTCTGTACAGCGCGATTGTCATGGAGGCCGGATGTTGCAAGGAAAATATAAAGAGTTTTGTTTAAATAGCTCGTAGCCATGTAGTCTCCAGCCATTTCGATGACCCCTGGGCGTTTTCTGTTAATAATACTTTGATCAAAGAAATTAATGATTCGTGATGGTTTTAAAAGTCAGGGTGTCTTGGCGGATTTGGTCGGGTTCGAGACCCTGGAAGGATGGATTGATTTCATGGGGTATTTTGTTTGTTTGATCTTACTATAGATTGCCATGGTTTGATGTAGTTTGACTCTGTAAACATCATTTAGCTCTCATTGGTTGATCAAGGCTGACAGTCAACTCAGTCGCAGCGCATGTAGYGAAAACCTCGATCTTCACTCATTTAATTTTCATCCTAGGAATCAGATATCGTAGATCGTGTGTCAAAGCTTGAATTGAATACGGTAAACAGTACGTATTTATTGCAACCACTTGCCGTCCGAGGAGCTTAATTTTCATATCATATGACGATGACCCGAGGCCGAAGTAATATTTAACGCCAACTAACATTGATCTCAATGTCGAGAAGAGATCCCGAGGCGACAAATCGCTTCTTCAGTGCTTCAGTCATGAGAGAACAACAGCAGCAGCAACACATCAGCGGCTTCCCTCAAAACACCCTGTCTCTATCAAGACGACATAGTAGTCTCTCTACCAACGGTACAAAAGAAAAATCAAGTCATGATAGAACGCAAAGAAGTAATAGTGTGAGTACAGTTGTCCAACCACATGGTAGTGGTAGTATTCCATTGCGGTGTTCTTTCGACGCGTCTAAGAGACGACCTAGTCTCGCAATCGCCTCTAAGCCCAAGGATTCCTCAAGCAATCCGTTGGAACAGTATTCTTTAGTGGTACTTGGTGTTGGAGGCGTTGGCAAAACAGGTAAGCATTCAACATTTTTATTGTTAGAAGAACTCTGTCAAAGAACCGGAAAACGGTAGCCTTCAGTTGACAATACATTTTGTCTCTAATAATGACTATAGATCGTACTTTGTGYATTAAGAAGCAATTAGAATACGCATACCTAAAGTTATTCGAGTCTAAATCTCGGTAGGATGTCCCTAAGATTTCTTATATGCTCCAGTTTTAGGTCAACGTGAAAGATCGTTTCGATTCGCACGATTTATCAACATTCGCTCACGGCTACAAAACATTTGACACTAACATTTTTTAAATGGTTAATTGGTTTGAAAACCTGAACTAAAAAAATCTATTCAATTCAAAAGGTCGAACTACCTCACCTAAAAGAGAGATAATTGAAGAGTAATTGTTTCAAAGGTCTCTCGTTTAAAGGTGAAAATRCGTAAATATCATCACTGATATTACAAGTGAGTTGTTTTCCTCATCTAGCATACTTTGCATTTAGATTCAAAAACTCCCTGATAACTCGAGCTAATCACTTCTCTCGTTTCAATTTTTTTCTTATCGCGAATCATGTACTTTTCGTACGAGCTGTTAAGTACAGTAATAAGTGACAATGACAGCGGCGTGTTCAATTAACACGTTTACTATATTATCACGAGAACTTGAATGAAGAGTTCTTGGTAATTATCTAAGTATGGTCGCAGTGAATGTCAACATACATCGAGCCAAKATGAAAAACCCTGTCATTTTTTTATAGCTCCATTCTCTTTCCTCTTTTACTCTTTCCTGTAATCAAATCCCTGTAAACTCTAAGCAATTAGAGTTAATATGTTGAAGTTGACTCAGTTGTACCGACGTAGTGAGTGACTCTTCATTTGAAGGCTACTCTTACCCGCGTTTTATCAGATCGCATGCTCTTTTCATTCCGTATGGTCTTTATCTTACCAGTCAGTTTAGGAATCAACTCTTAATTCTACATCAAGTTGTCAAGTTTTTTTGTCATAAAAAAGGAAAAGACAAAAAATCCTAAAATTGTACGTRAATTCGTCTTTTTAATCTTTGTTTAATTGCATTGTTTTTCGAGTTTATCTTGAGTAAAAAATGGATTTTTGATTTTTGGTCTATTTACTAATTAAACCCGGAGTAGATGAGCTTCAAAAAGCTTTTCTATTCATGTCGTGAAGTCAAACTCTTTTGAATGAGAGACTAAGAAACTCGACTCGCATTGTTTGAATAGGCAYTAGTTTTAACTCAATTACTTTAGCCATGGATTAGTATGACTGACGTTTATTGCTATTTTTACAGCACTCGTCGTGCGATATGTCACTGGACGATTCTTGCACGAGTATGATCCAACATTAGGTGAGTATTGTAGTGTTATTATCATTATCGTCACCATCATAATCGTTGGCCGCATCACCATCATCAATCATCATTACCAACATCATCAACACGATTATTACCATCATCAACTATATTCGCAATCACCATCATCACCATYACCACAATCCCTAACATCATCATCATCATCACCATCATCACCATCATCATCAACACAGTTATCATCATCACCATCATTTCCATCATCATCATCTCAATTATCACCATCAACACCATCATCATCAACGTAGTTATCATCATCACCATAATTTCCATCATCRTCATCTCAATTATCACCATCTTCTTCACTATGTAATGTTCAGAATAATTAATTTCCTTAATTTTYTAAAACATTAATCAATGCTTATTAAAACCCTTTACACCTTATCAACAATCCTTGCAGATAAAAGCCAATAATGAATAGTCAATTAACAGGCATAATTAATTTATTCAATTAAAAATAATTTCTGAAAAATATTTTTTCTTGCGAGCCACTTATTGGAATCAAAGCCCCCGCCTTCTAATTAGGACTCAGCATGGACATTGCATTTTATCTATCTTTAGGAGTGGGTGGTATATATTTTGTACTCGGACCAGACTGACTATTTAAAGTAGAATATTTAAAAACGTATTTAAGTTGTGCTCAAGGTCTTGTYTTCTGTTGTCAATGCAATTTGATTTTCGTTTGGCGTGATGTTTGTCGAGTCTAAACGACATCTCGGAAGTCTGCCCGCCTTATGTCAGGATCGAATGTCAACTTCAGATTATTTAATATCGGGTCCTAAATCACATTCGGACAAAAGAAAACAGAATATAAAGCGTTCAGAACTTTTTTTATTATATTCTTTTTACAACACTGTCCAAACCTTAGGTTCAATGTTTTAGCCAACACAGTTCTTTAGATTACTCCGGTAAAGGAGGAGGTAGGAACTTTGTTTTAGGGAGGGGGAGGGGGAGAGGGAGGGGGAGGGAGGAACTTCAGGGAACTTCTCATCTTATCTCTTAGGGATATAGGTCACTGGTTTGGTATCGTCCGACCACGCCCTTTAAAAAACAAAAATTTCTGGGATCTTTTAGAGGTATTTTTGAAATTTCCAACGAGCATGCCCGATGTTTTACTTCACCCCGTATCCCCCCCCTTCCCCCTGGTATTTTTACCCAAACAAAATAATGTAGTGTAGTTTTTTTTACTACAACGTGTTAAAYTATGCGGGCGTAGACAGTATTACACGTAACGAGAGCGCTTCGACTTTCATAAATTTTGTTTKTGACAACATTTAATTATAAGGATGTGTCTCGTTCATATGTAAATCAATACGGCAAAATGTGGCTCATGTTTATAAAGTACATTGGCCGGTTAAATAATCCCTATTTCCTTCCTTCCTAAAGTACTGATGGACAATGTATTTCCCTTTAATGCGATTGAGAAAATTTAAGTATGGTTTTGAATTTCAAAGAAATAAGACGGTAAAACGAGACGAATAGTCCCTTTTACAGTTCCCGGCGCCATCTTGAAAGGTAGCCGTGCCTTTGCATCGAAGCGAGACGAATGGTGAGCTTGCAATGATAGAGACCTTTTTTAACACCTTGGACAATTATTCACATGTCTATCGATCATTGCAAGCACACCATTCGTCTCCCTTCGATGCAAAGGCACGGCTACTTTTCAAGATGGCGCTGGGAACTGTGAAGGGGACTTGATTTGAATTGATTAAACTGATTATTTCTTCAGCGATGAATTTCTTTTTTCTCTCTCTATTCTTTTCTTTTTCCCTTTCTTCCCTTGACTAACGCTTGCTCGAAAATTGGTTGAAAACATATATTTGGATTTTTCGTCTTCTCAAACGTGCATGAAGGAAAGACTGATGTGTAAACAAGTCCGGGTCAAATCGTGTATCGCACATATTAAAAAAAACAACATTATAATTAGAAAGAGTGCCGGCTGTTGAATGAARGATTTTAACCACAAAAGTGCCTCTATAAGTGTGTGTTTTCAACTAAGATTTTTTTCTAGTGTCTAGTCTGAAAATAAAGCACGAACTATAATTAAGAAAGGAAAGGAAAGGAAAGGAAAGGAAAGGAAAGGAAAGGAAGAGAGAGAGATAATAAAAGGACAGATATGAAAACAGAAAGCCTCGGAGAAGAACTATTCCCAATACGCTAGAAAGATTAGGTGAAAAAAGCCGGCCATGCTTCCATAATCRTGACATATAAGTCAAGATAATAAATATCCTTTGACAAGTCGGTAAAGCAGCACCCCACAAGGCCCAAGCCCTGGATAACGGCCAATATAAATGGAAACAGCCTTACAAATCTCCCAGATTGTTTTGCTAAGATCAATTAGTGCTTTGCGTAACCTCTGTGTCGTAATAGCTTACACTCTGTAGTTTTGCGATCTGTCATGATATTCCACGTTTAGCATGCCCTTTGGTCTTTTTTTGATGGTGAAAATTTTCGTCGATTCATCCAGTTTGTTTGCGTCTTCGTTCTGACTCATGCTTACTTTTAATTATTGGTGTCTAAGTTTCTGGAGGATACTTCTTTTAGTATCTGAGATTCGTTTTCATTCGCCTTTTTCGWATTTTTTGAAAGAACTCCAGAGCCCAGAGGACATTGTGAGACGAAGATACGATCAGTTAAATTAAGTAATTGGGTCGGCGCGACTACCACATAAAGTTTCTTTGACCCTTTTTGGGTTTTATATAATTAAATTAAACATCTTAGGGTCCAAAAAGAAATCTGTAAGGCTTTCTATTTAAAGATAGATACGATCAGTTACTTGTTTTATTGAATAATTGGGTCACGTGA